AGCTGCTGGCGATTGTAAGAAATGTTAGCCAAAATTGAAATGACAAGAATGCTACGTTTAAAAATCATGGCAAGTTTAAATTGACTTCGAAAATTTTGGGACTTACGTACCCTCTCAGGAGGACAATAATTTTACACTACTTCAACCCCCTTTGAGGGTACAGCCACTAACAATCTCAGTTACTAATCTAAACTACCAATAATAAAATATGTATCTTTTTACAAATCAGTTAACAAGTTTAATTCTTTTAAAAATGCAATAATTAAATGAGGACTTATATTACTAAAAAGATCTTTCATAGTTTGTGATTTGAAATAGATATCCCTTTTGTGATGGAATATTCAACACAGTCAAGCAGGACATGCTTGACCGTGATTCTTTCATCACAAGGATACAAAACGGAGGATCCTCACCTTTTAATAGGTACTCATGAGTATATCTTGTGTGGCCAATACGACATCGTCGTATGATGACCTCTTCGTCGTACTGACAACCCAAGTAGGTGTAACCGATAGTTGGTTTTATTGCATGTAATTTATTGATACCTACTTGGCTGTCCTGTGCATCAGATCACGGATATAAGATCTTATAGCAGCTTTGTTATCAGAGTATGGGATCAGAAGTGGTGTCAGTGTGTTACCAGAAATGCCAACGTGGCTTGGTAACCAACAAAAGACGATGTCGTATTGGCCAGTAGCACGCTCATTATACAATTCAATAATTTCTAATGACAGTGGATGCTTACAAGAAAGATTTTTAATAGCCTGAAGACACGAAAGAGAATCGGAAAATATTTTTATTGTTTATATTTACGGTGTTTGCTAATATACTTAAGGGCTGTTAATATGGCGTTAGCTTCTGCTGTGAAAATAGAGCTGTTATTTGGTAGTCGAGAAGATATTGTTCGGGATCCAATGACAGTAGCACATGCCACCGCGCCACCATCCTTGGACCCATCTGTAAATAAGGATTTGTATGTATTATATTTATTTTTCAATTGATTATATTCTTGTTTATATTGTAATTCATTAGTTACAGATTTCTTAAACTTTGTCAGAGTTAGGTCAACTTCAGGCCTCACCAGTTGCCAAGGAGGAGAAGAAAGAAGACGATAAGGGGATATATTTTCCAGCTCAATGCCGGCAGCAGAAATGAATTGTTTAATTCTCAAACCAAGAGGCGGAACAAGAGAAGGCCTTTTGTTGTACAGATCCTCATAAAAAGAATTAAAAACACAGTTAAATGCAGGATTTGACTCATTAGAATATAGGTTTGTTACATACTGCAAGGATAATTTTATACGGCGTTGCGTAAGAGATGGCTCATCGGCCTCGACGTAGAGACTGTCAACTGGAGAAGTTCTAAATGATCCAAAACAAAGTCTGAGACCTTGGTGGTGAACAGAATCAAGTAGCTTAAGGTTGCTTTTGCAGGCTCCGCCACATACGATCGAGCCATAATCAAGTTTAGATCGCACCAATGATCTATATAAGTGAAGGAGGGTAGTTTGATCCCTCCCCACTTGAATTGGAGACAACCTTTAACAAATCGAGTGCCTTCAGGCATTTAGCTTTAAGGGATTTAATATGTGGCAGGAATTTTAAATGGGAATCGAAAATTAGGCCCAAGAATTTGGCCTCCTTTACAACTTTGATGGGAGTGCCATTTAAAGATGGTTCTGGGTCCTTATGAGGCTTATATTTACGGCAGAAATGTATATAATTAGTTTTTGAGTTAAAAAAATTTAAAGCCGTATTCAAGACACCATTTATTTATTTTGTTTAAACACAACTGCAGTTGTCGTTCAATAGTATGCATATTTTTACCGCGACAAGAAAAATCATCCACAAATAATGATCCATCAATTGAATCATTTAAAACTTTTGATAAACTATTTATCTTAATGCTAAACAATGTGACAGACAAAATACTGCCTTGTGAGACACCCTGATCCTGATTATAATGGTCAGACAGGGTTGAACCCACTCGGACTTGAAATTGCCTGTCTTTTAAAAACTGTATTAGAAAAAGAGGCAAACGGCCTCTTAAACCAAAATCATGTAAATCCTTCAAAATACCATGCTTCCAGGTCGTATCGTAAGCTTTCTCAAGATCAAAGAAAATTGATACAGCATGTTGTTTATTTACTATAGCATTTTTAACAAAGGATTCTAAGCGTACCAAATGATCAATGGTACTACGATTTTTCCTGAAACCACATTGAATATTTGTTATAAGGTTATTGGTTTCAAGATACCAAGTTAATCTATTATTCACCATACGTTCCATGGTTTTACAGACACAGCTAGTTAGAGATATCGGTCTGTAATTCGACGGATCTGTATGGTCCTTGCCAGGTTTTGGTATTGGGACTACAATGGCATTACGCCACGAAGGAGGAAATTCTCCGGACGTCCATATTTGGTCAAATATATCTAAAAGTGTCATCAAACATGGTTCAAGTAAGTGCTTCAGTTGCTGGTAATTAATGTATATTATCATCACCCGCTGCAGTGTCATGAGCTTGCTTGAGAGCAGTATGTAGCTCATGTAATGAAAACACTTCATTATAGTCTTCACCGTTATTTGATTCGAAATTAAGTTTTGTCTTTTCCTGTTGTTCCTGATATCTCTGAAACTCAGGGACATAATTTGCCGATGATGAATTTTTGGCAAGAGTTTCGCCAATTTTATTTGCAATTTTAGACTTGTCAGTAATTAAATTATCACCATCTTTAAGATGGAGAACAGCAGATTTTGAACCTTTGCCTTTAATTCTTTGAACCATGTTCAATACCTTAGACATTGGCGTGCGTGAATTAATTTTGGAGACATAATTTCTCCAAGATTGTCGTTTGTTTTGTTTAAAGGTACGACGCACCTTTGCATTGAGTATTTTAAATTTATTTAAGTTATGGACAGTTGGATGATGGCGGAAATAACGCTCTGCCTTTTTCCTCGCTTTTTCTGGTCTGTATTAAACCATGGTTTTTGTACATGTGGAGTCGTAAAGGACTTTGGTATACACTCATCAGCTATTTCATTTAAAACGTCAGCAAAAGTTTGAATGGGATCAGTTATATCACTGAAACATTCAGGTCGCAGTTTCGATTTACATATAGTTTGATATAAAGACCAGTTAGCCTTCGATAAGTCCCATCTTGTATACGATGGAGAATCAGATGGAGTTATTTCTGAAAGGATAGTTGGGAAGTGGTCACTTCCACAAAGATCATTATGAACAGACCTATCAAATTCATTCAAGAGGTTAGAATCTGCAAGAGACAAATCCAGAGAAGAATAAGTGCCAGTTGCAGGATGCAGATAGGTGCTTGAATCATCATTAAGTATGCACAGGTCATTATTGGAAATGAAATCTTCAATTATTTTACCTTTAGTATTAGTGTTAGTACTGCCCCAGAGTGGGTTGTGACCGTATAGGTCACCCATAATAACACATGGCTTTGGGAGTTGATCATAGAGTGATTGAAGATCAGTCAGCTGAAGGTTCGATGAAGGCGGAATATACAGAGAGCAGAACGTAAATGCTACACCCTGAGTAAGTCGCACTGCAACAGCTTGGAGATTAGTGTTAAGTGTAACAGGGCTGTGAATAACATCCTGTCGTATAAGGATAGTAGAACCTCCAGTGGCTCTATCACCTGGAGGGGAAAAATAATGATACGTTTCAAACTGACGTAAGTTAAAATTATCTGTCTGTTTCAGATACGTCTCTTGCAGACAGAACGCTGATGGTGTTAAATCCTGGATTAATAGCTGTATTTCATTAACATTTGTCCGGAGTCCTCTACGGTTCCACTGCACGATATTGTTAGATAGACCTATCTTTTAGGCGGATTAATTGGGGATCTACCCCGCACCGTTTTCGAGGGCGACAAGCTATGTGCCCTAGAATGGACGTTTTCGGACACGTCCATGTCCTCAAGTGATCCGTATTTGTTGTATAATTTGACTTTATCATCGGAACCTTTTGGGGCTCTGCCACTTTTTTTTCAAAGAATCTTGCTTCGGTTTGCCTTTGCTTCTGACGATTGGTTGAACATTACTGGTAGACTGAGACATTTGAGACGCCTGAGAAGATGTATCACGATCATAAGTTGCTTCTGAGTGGGTTTGGGGCGTGCAAGGAAGTGGTTCCACAGTTTGTGTAGACATACATGATTCCGAAGTATGCGTAGAACGCACGGGTGTGACAATTTCTGGCTTGTTCGTTTTGACCCAAGTCAGATCTGTTTGGCAGGTTGCCGACGATGTGGATACTGGCGATGTTTTTACCTTTTGGCCTGATTTCAGAGGGTGTCTTAGTGACAGATGCATATGTTTCATTTGGCAATGTAGATTCAACCAGTTTTTTTTTGCATCAGCAAAGATAATGTTTTGTGTGAATTTAATTCTGTTAATGTCCATTTGTTTTGTCCACATTTTGCAGTCTTTTGAAAAAGAAGAATGGCTACCTGAACAGTTTGTGCACTTTTTAAAGTCACTGTCACAGTCTTCCGTGACATGAGACGTCTCGCTACAATGACCACATGTTACTGGCTTTGTGCAAGTGTTTGCGCCATGACCATATTTTTTGGCCTTCTATATGTGGGGTCGTTTCATGTAGCAAACGGGACAGTAATTGTTCCAAATGTTTCCGTGTCAGAACAGTATTTTACGGAAATAAACTATACTGAACCGCAAAAGAAACGTCACCAGAAGTAAAATTGCATGAAAATTTGCCATTGAAATGTCTCGGTGTTATTGTTGTCAAAGACCGTTAACTGTAGACTACCTCGTCAGGAAAATTGCTATTTAGTGCGTTCCATGCAAATTGAAATGTATTTGCGTTTCCCCATTTCTTGCCCTATAAAAATCCACCCCGAACGGAGAACATTCATTCGTTGTTGAATTGCTACGACATGCCAAGATTGGCAAGATATCAGCGAAACCTTGCCCTTGGAGATTGTAAGCTGGAGCAACCGCCCGGCTGATTGCCAATGCCTTTCAAGTCCACGTCAGAACCATATACAGGCTTCGGCAACGGTACCAGGCCACCGACTCTGCAGATGACCGACCACGTAGTGGAAGACCGAGGGTCACCAGCCGACGTCAAGATCGTCACATTGTGCGACATCTTCAAGGTCGCTTTGTTACTGTTGCGGAAACAGCTCGACAGACCACGGGAACAACCCAACGTCAGTTTAGTGCGGAGACCGTGCGTCCACGATTGAAAAGCAGAAATCTCAACTGTCACTGGTCACACGGAGGACCAATTCTGACACCACTTCATCGTCAGGATCGTCTACAGTGGGCAACACAGCACAGGACCATGCAGTGGCCTCCCCTCAGTCCCTATTTACTACCCATTGAGCACCTGTGGGACGAGATTCAACGATGGCTGAATGACGTACGACCAAGAGCGACAACTGCAGCTGGGCCCCGTTCCTCAAAGCGATCGTAGCGCTAGAATGATCGTAACTCCCATACTTTAACATTGACTAAGCGCTAAGATCAACTGCGTCAGGCGTTCCTCAGAGTATGGGGTCAACTGCCTATGGCCTTTATCAAGCGCCTCATCCATTCCATGTACCGACGTTGGACGGCAGTAATCAATGCACATGGCGGACATACGAGATACTGAGTTTTGATGGCCACTCCGAACAGCATAGTGTGTTGTTTCTTATTAAGAACATTTGACATTTTCATTCCAACCTTGATAATCATTCTTGCCAAGTTTCATCTTCTTCCTATATCTCAAAGTATGTTTAAAGTGTTTGGAAAAATAAAGGTTCTAATTCTAATAATTTAAAAAGGTTCTCTCCATGGTGACTGAAGCCCATTTCTGGTGTCCCCCGCCGTGATATTACTGGAATATTGCTTACAGCGGCGTAAAACTAAACTCACTGACTCCAAGGTGACGTTTCTTTTGCGGTTCAGTATATACTGATTTCTTCTGACGACGTCGTTCATACATATAAAATATATTTCAGAAACCTCGTACAATGGGGTGAGATAGCATAGATTTTAATAGCGATATGCTATACGTTATCGTGTGTATGAGTGTGTGTGTGTGCGTGTGTTTGGACTAGTCCAAATTGTTTGGAATAGTCCATCCAACAGTCCTCACTCACTTACTAGAGGGGATTTACAGAGCATTGGTTAGCAATATTTACAGATATTTAGTATTTTAAAGGGTTTATTTACACTTCTGCAATGGTTAGAATGCACTACTTGACTTCAAGTGTGGATGAGTCGAAGCCTGGCTGTTCTCATCATGTTATTGTTTGTATTTTCTTTTCCCTGTGCAAATGTGAGACCCAGAAACGGAAACCGGATTTCGCGATTTCAATCGCACTTCATCAGTTCCATCGTTTGTAATACACCGCTAGTGAACCCAGTAACACGAGACCAATGTAAGTATCCGATTTTATATGTATGTATGTATGTATGTATGTATGTATGTATGTATGTATGTATGTATGTATGTATGTATGTATGTATGTGTGTGTGTGTGTGCGTGCGTGCGTGCGCGTGCGTGCGTGCGTGCGTGCGTGCGTGCGTGCGTGCGTGCGTGCGTGTATGTATGTGTGTTTATTTATGTATGTACATCTTGTGTGTATGTATGTATGTATGCATGCATGCATGTATATATATGTGTGTGTGTGTGTATGTATGTATGTATGTATGTACAGTGTGTGTGTGTGTGTGTGTGTGTGTGTGTGTGTGTGTGTGTGTGTGTGTGTGTGTGTGTGTGTGTGTGTGTGTGTGGTTATGGCACGGGAAAGCGAAATCTGGACCAAACCTCCTCAACTTAGGTGTCGCTTTTGCGGGAACGGTCATGCTACAGTGAACACTGAATTTAGCGTTCCCGGGACTCTCAATACACAAGAAAAACAAAGAAATGTGAGTCGTCGTCTGATACCGTAGTCATGGTAGAAATTTAATAAATAAATAAATACGTTTAACATTAGCAAGCCATGGTGAAGCATGCATAGTATTTTCTAGCATTTGTGATAATGACATTGTGAATTATAATTGACATTTTATTTTGATTTACATTAGTAGCAAGTTTAAACCAAACAGAAATTATTCACTTTTTAATATATACAGAGATAGCAATTCGTCCAGTCTCTCCGTAGAGCATTTAGGATGGTACTGTACTTTTGCATAGTTTCAGGACAGAAGGAGTATTGGGGTCGCACGCTAATCTGAAGTACGGTAATCCGATATTTTCACATCAATGTGTGTGTGTGTGTATCGTCTGTGTGTGTCTGTGTCTGTCTGTGTCTGTGTCTCTCTGTGTGTCTGTGTGTGTCTGTGCCTGTGTGTCTCTCTGTGTGTGTGTCTCTCTGTGTGTGTCTGTGTGTCTGTGTGTGTGTGTGTGTGTGTGTGTGTTGTGACGCGCAGATTTAGTTCTAAGAGTTAAAATGTATAGCCTTGTTGTAGAATACATTGTATAAATTTGAAAATATTAGCGACAAAACCCTATCCAATGGTCAAACGAAATCTCTGACTAACAAAACATCCGATTGTACCTCGAGTATGTGTTTCGAGGTCAATATCGAAGATTGATGACACTCTGTTTTCGTGAAAGGTGCGCATGTCCTCTCCAAGCGTTGACATTCGGCGTACACACATGCAAAGGCAAGTCAATTGTTCTATTGAACTTAAACGAGAACATGTGAAATCCTGTCTTGTGAGTAGGAACACTTAGTTTCAATTAAAACACACACGATTGTATGAAGACAAATCATTGTTTGACCACAAACACGACACTGGACACTGTGGTTGTTAAAGATTCAGTTTTGAATGCTTATGAAGTATTTACTGAAGCCTAATTCTACGAAGAATAGGTATTTTGTTAATCTTGCAGTATTTGTAACGAAGCTTGGTTTCACTGGTATCTGAGTAAGGAGGTGAATGGTTATTCGGGTGCGGCAGATTGTTTGCTGTAGGAACACTACATGGCATCGCAGAGGAGTTATATGAGGAACGTGATAAGCGAGCGTGCAGGACATGGCAACATCCTGACGTTGTTGGCTGCAATGAAGTCGTGTACAATCCTGGCGGTACAGAGTTTGGCGTTGTCATGCAGATCGGGGACACCATGTGACATAATAGAACTAGCAGTTAAAATGGACGAAGAATGTCATTCATGCAAAGATGAGCTTTGAAAGTCCCGTTAGCAATGACCCCAGGATCCTGTGAGTAAGCAATAAACGCCGCCTGACAGGTTAAGCCACTCTGTTTGTTTTCACTGCTATTAGTGGCGACCAAAGGGACAGCTGGCAGTTCCGGCAATTACTGATTGCGCGAATAATTGACCGCACGATGTAGTCTAAACTGTCAATTCCGCGAAAATTGCACCACGCGAAAATAAGTACATCATGTCTGAGGGGAAAACGTTCGCTAACGAAGCATACCACGCCACAGTGGTCGCCGGCCTAGCCGTAGGATACGCTCGGTTGACCAAGATGGTCCTCAAACAACCGACTATCAAGCTCGACTTCGACCTGCAGGATATGGGCATGCTCATCATGAACCTGGGTATGGTGATGGCCACCAAGGACATCCTCGTGAAGCAAGGGATCACACCGGGGAATATTTTGAAGTAAGTATAGGCATATATAGGATGGCTACGATCGCTATTATGGTCGGGGGGGCTTTAGTCAACGCCCTGGCATTTTCCGGGAGCAATTACCTGTTCTCGAAGCTACGGGGGTCGAACGCGGAGCGGAAATGGCACGACATGTGAGAACCATGCCGTTTCGAACGTTTAAGGACGTCGACGACGCCGCAAAAGAATACTACCTGCTGACCGGCAAACAGCTCTAACCACTCGAGGAACCCACACTCTCCCAGTACTATGCACCCAGCCCGGGGCAAAAGGGCCGAGAACTGGCCTTCGTCGTGATAGGCCTAGCAGCGACTGCGCTGATCGCAAAGCAATTAAACCCGGTACACATATGAATATACGATGACACCTGCCCTGTATCGATGTCAGTACGTGCTTATGGGGAAGACCGAGACATGCGGTAGGAGATGCAGGACCGAGGGGTACTGTTGTTTCCACAGGAGGTGTTTCATGAACTATACGTGCTCTGTGTGCGGCATCGGGGTTAAATGCCTATGTAAAGCCCACGGGGCAAACGTAGTCTGGCACCAGCTTATCTACGAGATGAAAAAGGACTACATAAACGAACGTAGGCGCCTCCTCAGGATGGAAGTGTAAGGGCCCTAATTATTTTTTGCCACCCAATTAAATACTGTGTACACCTTGGTATAATGATGTGTACCACCCGAGAGCCTGCGTTCGTGCGTACTATAATCCCGAAAGGTTACCTCAAAAGCTGGCGGATGAACAAAGCCGAGAGCATACCCATGACCGGTATCAAACCTCTGATCACCGGTATACTCGAAGACGAACTGAATGATCTGGGAAGCTTCCAATTTCGGTTCACACTGAGAGTGGCATGGGCTAGGGGGGGCGTCAGGTATACTTTCCCTATCACAGGTGGGCTAGAAATCACGACTCAACCTGAGCTAGAAAAATATCTCAACACTTCATTACAAAGCATACAAGAATACCTGGAACGCTTCCCCCCAGGTTTATTAGAGCGGGTTGAGTGCAGAATCAAAACGGTCTACCTAAGTATAGCCGATTATGACGCTGAAGTGGACCTACTGGCGCCAGCCCTCCACCTGCTCACGGCAAAGTTCCACTAGCCTCCTTTATTTTTTGGTTAAGGTTGGAGGAGTTACCTCCCTTGCCGGTGACCCAATTAGAGATTGTATACACCTGGGTATAACAATGACTATTGTCCGAGAGCTCAGGCAGATTGCGAGAGAACGAGGTGTAGTGGGTTACTCTCGATTGAGGAAACCCCAGCTGTTTAGCTTACTAGACATACAACCCCCTCCAACGGTGAAACAACTCAAACTCCAAGCCAGAGAGCTGGGTCTGGCGGGTTATTCCCGCCTGGGTAAAGCCGGGCTAGTAGCACTGTTGCACGCCCCCGTACAACGACCCCCCACGGTGAAACAACTCAAACTCGAAGCGAGAGAGCTTGGTCTGGCGGGTTATTGATGATGAGGAAACCCGAGCTCGTCGAACTGTTGCATCAGCACAGAGTCGTCGATATACAGTTCGTGCGCACTGAACGCGCTGTAGGTAACTACCTGAGAGGCTGGCACA